AGAAGCCCCTGGGGCCGCCAAGAGGCCCCCAAGACGCCCCAAAAGGGGACGAGGTGCCCGAACGCCTCACGCCACGAGGAGCCCGAACGACTCACACCAGGACGAGGGGCCCGAACGACTCACACCACGAAGAAGCCCGAACGACTCACACCAGAAGGAGGGGCCCGAACGACTCATACCAGGACGAGGCGCCCGAACGACTCACACCACGAGGAGCCCGAACGACTCACACCACGACGAGGGCCCCGAACGACTCACACCACGAGGAGCCCGAACGAGTCACACCAGGAGGAAGGGCCCGAACGACTCACACCAGGACGAGGGGCCCGAACAACTCACACCACGAGAAGCCCGAACGACTCACACCAGGACGAAGAGCCCGAACGACTCACACCACGAAGACCCGAACGACTCACACCAGGAAGAAGGGCCCGAACGACTCACACCAGGACGAGAAACCCCAAACGACTCAAACCACGAGGAGCGCTTTCTCTCCTCCTCCTCCGCCTCGTCCTTCTCCCGCTCCCACCACAAGGAGGATGTACAAGGAGGCGGGAGGAAGGAGGAACAGGGGAGCTATGCGGGGGCAGGCGGAAACACGCCTGAAAAACACGACTGTCGGCATGCTTCGCAAGACTTGCTGTTTTGAGATGGGCTGGTGGGTATACGCGAAGCGTGAAGAATTGGGATCTGCCATACCGCCATTGTGCTTTATAACGTTGTGGATCGAGTCCTCCTTTTTTGCATCCATGCCCTGACCGAACTGAACTGGCTCTTAAGCTCGAGTTGTCTGAGCACATAGTAGCTGCCCCAGAGCTAGTTGAAGTGGAAACGTGCGTTCAATCAACTCGACCTGAAAGCCCGAGCCAGCTCCGAAGAGGAACGACACGAGACCGGGCACAGGCGCACGGACGCGCCACAGGATGTGCCAGGAGCGCAGTAGGGGATGCGCCAGGGGGCGTGCCAGGGGACGTATCAGGGGACGCGCCCTGGACGTGTTCGGGACCTGCCACAGCACGTGCCAAGGCGCTTCATGGGGCGGCCAGAGGACGCCATGCCCAAGGACGTTGCAAGGGGCGCGCCACGGAGCGGGCAGAGGAAACGCCTGGGGACGAGCCAGGAAACGCGACAGAGGACAAGCCAAGGAACGTGCCACGCCAAGTGGCGTGCTAGGGGACGTGCCAGGGCACGTCACGCCAGAACTTCGCAAGGGCCGCGTCAGGGGACGCGCCAGCGCGCCAGGGGACGCCCCACGGACGGGCGGGGTTGGACTGCGATGTACTCAACTGTGACAAGCGTTCCGCTCGAGACATCCTCAACAAATCCTCATGTTAGACATCCGCCTGGACGACCTGGACACGTGAAACCAAGCGTTTCGCTCGAGACATCCTGCCCAAATCCCCATGTTAGACATCCGCCGGGGCGGCCTGGACGCGTGAAAACTAGCCCGGCGAAAGACCCAGCCATACGCAGTTATGAGTACCGCAATTGTGAATACCATCTTCGCCCAAGCTCCCTATGTGCGCACGGCTTCCCGCTGGAGCCCGACATGCTCAGGGACACGTTCGCGGCCGTCTTCGCGGGCGCCGACGACGACGAGGACGGCGCCCCCCTGACCGAGCAGCAGAAGCAGGAGAGGGCTCCGAGAGCCTTGAGGGAAGCTGCCACTGGCGCCTTCGGTGGGGCTCCTATGGGGCCACGAAACGTGTGAGGGGTGTGCCGAAATGGCCCGAGGCCGCCATGCGAATTCCGCCACTGGGACCTTAGGTGGAGCTCCTTAATTATGGGGCCACGATCCTCGTCAAGGGTGTACCGAAATGGCCCGAGGCCGCCGTGCGAGTTCCGCCACTGGGACCTTGGGTGGAGCCCCCTATGGGGCCACGAAACGTGTGAGGGGTGTGCCAAAATAGGGCAAGGCCGCCATGCGAGTTCCGCCACTGGGACCTCAGGTGGAGCTCCCTAGGAAGCCACGAAACGTCTGAGGGTTGTACCGAAACAGAGACATGCGGAGAGCAAAGGCAAGGAGGAGGAGGGGTGTGCCGAAATGGGCGCGGTGGTGCCATGCAAGCGCAGCCACTGTGGCCTTCGGTGGGGCTCCCTATGGGGCCACGAAACGTGCGAGGGTGTGCCGAAATGGGCGCGGTGGTGTCATGCGAGCGCAGCCACTGGGGCCTTCGGTGGAACTCACTGTGGGGCCACGAAACGTGTGCCGAAATGGGTGCGGTGGTGTCATGCGAGCGCCGCCACTGGGGCCTTCGGTGGAGCTCCTTATGGGGCCACGGAACGCTGTACTGGGTGGGGGAAACGCAACGAGGAGGAGAGGGAGGAGGAGGAGGAGGAGGAGGAGGAGGAGGAGGAGGAGGAGGAGGAGGAGGAGAGGAGGAAGGAGGAGGAGGAGGAGGAGGAGGAGGAGGAGGAGGAGGAGGAGGAGGAGGAGGAGGAGGAGGAGGAGGAGGAGGAGGAGGAGGAGGAACGCGGGGCACCGTCTCTTCAAAACGAGAACCCAACACCACAGGATGGTTGGGAACAAGCGTGTCGCCCAACATTTCCTCAACACATTCTCATGCTAGACATCTGCCAGGGCGACCTGGACACGTGAAAGCAAGCGTCTCACTCGAGACATCCTCAACAAATCGAGACATCCGCCTGGGCGACCTCGGCACGTGAGAACAAGCGTTTCCCTCGAGACGTTCTCGACTCCTCTTCATGCTAGACATCTGCCGGGGCGACCTGGACACATGAAAGCAAGCGACTCGCTCAAAACATCCTCAACACATAGTCATGTTAATTGACAGGGGGACATGCCAGGAGGACGCGCCGCGGAACGTCCCAAGGGACGCGCCAGGCGACGTGCCAGGGGACGTGCCATGGGGACGCACCGCGGGACGGACGTGCCAGGGGGACGCGCTACGGAACGTGCCAATGGACGTGCCACGGGACGTGCCAGGGGACGCGCCGCGCGACGTGCCACAGGGACTCGCCACAGGACGCGCCACGAGTTCTGCAAAACAAGCGTTTCGCTCGAGACATCCTCGAAGCGTCTCGCTCGAGGCATCCTCAAGACCTGGGCACGTGAAAACAAGCATTTCACCTGAGACATCCCCTGAATTCTGGTTCCCAGGAGAGGAACAAAATGTACCACAAAACAAACGTGTTGCTCGAGACATCATTAACAAAATATGCAAGACAAGCGTTTCGCTCGAGACGTCCGCAACAAAAGAAAATGCTTATGTTACCATGTGTTTTACCGACGGCGATGCACTGGCGACGTCGGCGTGGAGGAAATCGGTCTCCACATCGAGCCGCATCGCCGATGCATCGGCGATGCGGCGCGATCCTCCGACCCCATCTGCTCTGACCACATCTGGGAGGCCTAGACGTAAGACTCGGGTTCCGAGGACATGGGTTGGCCAAACGGGGCTGTCAGGAAATGACGAGACCCCAGATCTCCAACGTATTGAAACATGATCGACCCACAAACCCGGAAAGGAATATACAAACGTAAGGCAAGGCAACGTTTCAAAGACACCTGACTTGGCGACGGGCAAATGCAATGCTGAACGTATCGACCTTATGTACTGTGCCGAGGGCTGTGCTGTGCTAAGCCGTGCTGAACTGCGATGCGCCATGCCGCGATTGCTTTATATAGCGTTGTGGATCGAGTCCTCCCTGGCATCCGAGTCCTGACCGAACTGATCTGGATCTTAAGCTCGAGCTGCCTGAGCAGATGGTAGCTGCCCCAGAACTAATCGACAGAGGGGACATGCCAGGAGGACGCGCCGCGGAACGTCCCAAGGGACGCGCCAGGCGACGTGCCAGGGGACGTGCCATGGGCACGCACCGCAAGACGTGCCAAGGGGACGTGCTACGGAACGTGCCAAAGGACGTGTGCACCGCGGGACGTGCCAGGGGACGCGCCGCGCCAAGGAACGTGCCAAAGCGCAATGTTGAGTGTATCGATCTTGATGCACCGTGCCGACAGCTGTGCTGTGCTACGCCATGCTGAACTGCGATGTACCATGCCGCGATTGTGCTCTATATATATATATAGCGTTGTGGTTCCAGTCCTCTTTGCATCCGAGTCCTGACCGAACTGATCTGGATCTTAAGCTCGAGCTGCCTGAACACATAGTAGCTGCCCCAGAACTAATCGACAGAGGGGACATGCCAGGAGGACGCGCCGCGGAACGTCCCAAGCGACGTGCCAGGCGACGTGCCAGGGGACGTGCCATGGGCACGCACCGCGGGTCGTGCCAAGGGGACGCGCTACGGAACGTGCCAATGGACGTGCACCGCGCGACATGCCAGGGGGACTCGCGACGGGACGCTCCGCGGAACGTGCCAGGCAACATGCCAGGCTGCAATGCTAAGGGTATCCATATTGATGTACCGTGCCGAGGGCTGTGCTGTGCCTGGGCGACCTGGACACTCGAGACATCCTCAACAAATCCTCATGCTAGACATCTGTCTGGGCAACCTGAAGGCGTGAAACCAAGCGTCTCGCTCGAGACATCCTCAAGACCTGGGCACGTGAAAAAAAAGCATGTCACTTGAGAGATCCTCTGAATTCAGGTCCCCAGGAGAGGACAATCTAATCTAAAACACAGAACAAGCGTTTCGCTCGAGACATCCTCAACAAATTCTGAAAAACAAGCGTTTCACTCGAGACATCCTCAAATTCTAATTCGCCGGCCCCAGACGACCTCGTTATTTATCACAAACGAAATTCGCCGAGCCTACAGCCGTCAAAACCAGAGGGGAACAAAACTTAAAGAGAACCCTGGGCCTAAGCCCTTTCCGGGAAAAATCGTCCCCAGCCTATTTGTTTAAATATTCCTCCCCAGACTATCATTTGAAAATTCAAGAACTGTCAAAAATTGTCAATGAACGAAAAAAACAAAAAAAACAAAAAATTAAAACCAAAAACAAAAAAAACAAAAACTGTGTTTGGATATTCCTCCTGTAGAGGGACGTGCAGGACTGAACTCTGGGCCTCCGACCCCAGGCGCGCCGCCCGCATGTACTCGTGCAAGGGGAGCCACCTCCGCCACTCCGCCCCGCCCTCGCGCAGCAGCGCCAGGAGCTTCCCCGCGGCCTCGAGGGCCCCCGCTCGCGGCGGCCCCGGCGGCCGCTGCGAGGGCTCCTCGGCGCGCGCAGGACCTCCCACGGAAGTCTTCTTGTTCGGGGAGGGGGCGGGAATTCAGGGAGGTCCCTCCGGCTCCTCCCCCCCTCCTCCTCCCCTCCTCCCTTCCTCCTCCTCCTCCTCCTCCTCCTCCTCCTCCTCCTCCTTCCCCTCCTCCTCCTCCTCCGCCTCCTCCTCCTCCTCCTCCTCACTCCCCCTCCTCCTCCTCTCCTCCCCTCCTTCCTCCTCCCCTCCTCCCTCCTCTCCTCCTCCTCCTCCTCCTCCTCCTCCTCCTCCTCCTCCTCCTCCCCCCCCCTCCTCTCCCTCTCCCTCCTCCTCCTCCCCCCATTTTGTAGGGAGGGGATGGACAGAACCCCCTTTAGCAAAACGTGGTTTAAACGACCTCGGGCCCAAACCTGGCGGGCGCAAGCCTGGAAAACAACGGCCGCGGCGCCCTCTCGAGAAGCGACAACGGACCACCACTCATCGACGTGTCAAGGTGGGGTTTCTGTCCACCTCCGATGTTTTCGAGAGAGGACGGGAGCGGACACCGAAAGCGAACCCCACGCACACGCAGCAGGGTTGTCCGGCGAGCGTGGCCGAAACTCTGGCCGCGAGCAGGACCTCCCACGAGTTCTCCAGAGGAAAGAAACATGATCGACCCACGAACCCGGAAAGGAATATAGAAATGTAAGGCATGGCAACTGTTCAAAGACACTTGATTGGGCGACGGGCAAATGCAATGCAGAATGTATCGATCTTAATGTACTGTGCCAGGGGCTGTGCTGTGCTGCACCGTGCTGAACTGCGATGTTCCATACCGCGATTGTGCTCTACATAGCGTTGTGGATCGAGTCTTCCTTAACATCCGAGTCCTGACCAAATTGATCTGGATCTTAAGCTCGAGCTGACTGAGCAGATGGTAGCTGCCCCAGAACCAATCGACAGAGGGGACATGCCAGGAGGACGCGCCGCGGAACGTCCCAAGGGACGCGCCAAGCGACGTGCCAGGGGACGTGCCATGGGCACGCACCGCGTGACGTGCCAAGCGGACGCGCTACGGAACGTGCCAATGGACGTGCCGCGGGACGTGCCAGGGGGCGCGCCACGCGACGTGCCAGGGGGACTCGCCAAGGGACGCCCCACGGAACGTGCCAAGTTGCAATGCTGAGTGTATCGATCTTGATGTACCATGCCGAAATCTGTGCTGTGCTGCGCCGTGCTGAACTGCGATGTGCCATGCCGCGATTGTGCTCTAGATAGCGTTGTGGATCGAGTCCTCTTTGCATCCGAGTCCTGACCGAACTGATCTGGATCTTAAGCTCGAGCTGCCTGAACACATAGTAGCTGCCCCAGAACCAATCGACAGAGGGGACATGCCAGGAGGACGCGCCGCGGAACGTCCCAAAGGACACGCCAAGCGACGTGCCAGGGGACGTGCCATGGGCACGCACCGCGGGACGTGCCAAGCGGACGCGCTACGGAACGTGCCAATGGACGTGCCGCGGGACGTGCCAGGGGACGCGCCACGCGACGTGCCAGGGGGACTCGCCAAGGGACGCCCCACGGAACGTGCCAAATTGCAATGCTGAGTGTATCGATCTTGATGTACCATGCCGAAATCTGTGCTGTGCTGCGCCGTGCTGAACTGCGATGTGCCATGCCGCGATTGTGCTCTAGATAGCGTTGTGGATCGAGTCCTCTTTGCATCCGAGTCCTGACCGAACTGATCTGGATCTTAAGCTCGAGCTGCCTGAACACATAGTAGCTGCCCCAGAACTAATCGACAGGGGGACATGCCAGGAGGACGCGCCGCGGAACGTCCCAAAGGACACGCCAAGCGACGTGCCAGGGGACGTGCCATGGGCACGCACCGCGGGACGTGCCAAGGAGACGCGCTACGGAACGTGCCAATGGATGTGCCACGGGATGTGCCAGGGGACGCGCCACGCGACGTGCCAGGGGGACTCGCCAAGGGACGCCCCACGGAACGTGCCAAGGAACGTGCCAAGTTGCAATGCTGAGTCTATCGATCTTGATGTACTGTGCCGAAGTCTGTGCTGTGCTGCGCCGTGCTGACTTGCGATGTGCCATGCCGCGATTGTGCTCTATAGCCTCGTGGATCGAGTCCTCCTTTGCATCCGAGTCCTGATCTGAATCTTAAGCTCGAGCTGCCTGAACACATAGTAGCTGCCCTCGGCGGGGTCAGGGTCCAAAAACAAAGGGATTTGCCACATTTCTGAAATTCGGTGCCACCCCTCACGCAGATCCGCGGGGTCAGGGTCCAAAAACACAAGGGATTTGCCACATTTCTGAAATTCGGTGCCACCCCTCACGCAGATCCGCGGGGTCAGGGTCCAAAAACACATGGGATTTGCCACATTTCTGAAATTCTGTGCCACCCCTCACGCAGATCCGCGGGGTCAGGGTCCAAAAACATAAGGGATTTGCCACATTTCTGAAATTCGGTGCCACCCCTCATGCAGATCCGCGGGGTCAGGGTCCAAAAACATAGGAGATTTGCCAAAGTTCTGGAATTCGGTGCCTCCCCTCACGCAGATCCGCGGGGTCAGGGTTCAAAAACACAGGAGATTTGCCACAGTTCTGAAATTCGGTGCCACCCCTCACGCAGATCCGCGGGGTGAGGGTCCAAAAACACAAGAGATTTGCCACAGTTCTGGAATTCGGTGCCTCCCCTCACGCAGATCCGCGGGGTCAGGGTCCAAAAACACAAGGGATTTCTGCTATTTCCAAACTTATGCAACTTCAAGAATCCAAAACTCCGTTCCCAGCGCCGTTCTGGAGGCCGCGGTACCTCGTTATTTATCGAGCGAACGCGTTTACCTCGTTTTTTTTATCGTTTAAAGTCGATGTCGGAAAAAGTTGACTTCCCCTGTGAAATATCGAGGTTTCCTTAAAGGCAGTAAAATTCCAAGAGCACGATCTGTGTGAGGGGTGGCGAAAAATGGCCTTCGTCCTCACAATTTTAATTCGCCGGCCCCCTTCGACCTCGTAATTTATCGCACAAGAAATTCGCTGGCCCCCTTCAAGTAAAAACCGGAGGGTAAACCCACTAAAAGAGAACCCTGGGCTCGAGCCCTTTCCGGGAACATGATGGACCGACGAACCCGGAAAGGGATATAGACATGTGCAGCATGGTCACGTTTTCACGATATCCAACTGGGCGACACCACACGAAACATCCCACGAGACATGCCGCGAAACATCCCACGAGACACCTCACGAAACATTCCACGAGACACCTCACGAAACATTCCACGAGACACCCCGTGAAACATTCCACGAGACACCCCACGAACAGGTAACCACTCAACCAGACACCCCACGAAACATTCCACAGGGGTGCGACTGGGTGTGGTCGTGCTGGGGTGTGGTCGTGCTGGGGTGTGGTCGTGCTGGGGTGGGGTCGTGCTGGGGTGTGGTCGTGCTGGGGGGTGGTCGTGCTGGGGGGTGGTCGGGTGGTCGTGCTGGGGGGGGTGGTCGTGCTGGGGTGTGGTCGTGCTGGGGCGTTGTCGTGCTGGGGCGTGGTCGTGCTGGGGCGTTGTCGTGCTGGGGTGGGGTCGTGCTGTGGAGAGGTCGTGCTGGGGTGTGGTCGTGCTGGGGTGGGGTCGTGCTGGGGTGGGGTCGTGCTGGGGGGTGGTCGTGCTGGGGTGGGGTCGTGCTGGGGTGGGGTCGTGCTAGGGTGGGGTCGTGCTGGGGTGTGGTCGTGCTGGGATGTGGTCGTGCTGGGATATGGTCGTGCTGGGGTGTGGTCGTGCTGGGGCGTGGTCGTGCTTGGGTGGGGTCGTGCTGGGGTGGGGTCGTGCTGGGGTGGTCCGCTCCTTTGATTTATCGATCGGGTCGTGCTGGGGTGTGGTCGTGCTGGGGTGTGGTCGTGCTGGGGTGTGGTCGTGCTGGGGTGTGGTCGTGCTGGGGTGTGGTCGTGCTGGGGTGTAGTCGTGCTGGGGCGTGGTTGTGCTGGGGCGTGGTCGTGCTGAGGTGTGGTCGTGCTGAGGTGGCCCGCACCCTGTGATTTATCGATCGGGATTTCAAAAACAAGCGTTTCGCCTGAGACATCCTCAAATTTTAATCCGCCGGCCTCCTTCGACCTCGATATTTATCAGGGAAAGAATCCGCCGGCCTCCTTCAAGTTGGCCACGGGGAACATTGTTTACATACTAAAAGAGAACCCTGGGCCCACGCCCTTTCCGGGAAAAAGCAACGAACGTAAACACAAGCCGTTTCGAAGACGGACCGTCTGGCGAGGCAAGGCAAGGCGCCGGTCAGTCGCCCCGGGGGACGGCCCCAGATGCACATGAACTCTCGGAGCTCCGCGCGGATTTCGTGGATCGGCGGTGGGCCCCCCATGGCGGCGCCTCTTGCGCCAATCCCAGAAATCCGAGCGGACCTGCGAAAGTCTCTGTGTATGCATCTGTTGTTGAGTGGTTCGATTGTCTGGACTCCTCCTCTGGTGATCTCCAGATTTATTTGTTTGTTGTCTGCTCTGGGATCTCCTGAGGAGTCTGAGGATCCCCATGTCATCTGGATCTGCATCGAGGTGGGCTGATTTGCCTCGGTCCATCTACTTCGTCGGGCCCTTAAGGACCTGCTGGCACCGCTCCAGCCGCTGCCGCCGCCACAGTCGACGCGGCCATCTCGGCCTCCTCTGCGAGGCGGGGATCTGTACATATCCACTGACAGAGGGGCCGATGTCTGGGGACCCCGAGGGGGCGGTGGATATGGACTTGGTTTGGCCCCGAAAGACCGAAAACATCCATGTCCAACGCCTCCCGAGGTCCGGGGAGATCGGCTTACCATGCGGTGGATAGAGTCAAGACGCCGAGATCAGGAACGGCTCGGGCTTGGAAGAGGCTCGCTGTGTAACCGCATGGTTGCTCCTCTGGCGCTCCTCGTGCACCCAGGCGCAAAGGCTCAGTTCCTGATTTGGCGCCCAGCGTCCCTCATGGTAGCAGCCTGACTGCATGGATGGATTCCAGCCTCGGGTCCTCGGCGGCGGTGGCTTCTCGCCCCGCCCCAGGCGAGAGGGCCCTCTGGAGGCTGAGATGCTCCAGGGCGTCCGCCACGCCGTCCAGCACCTGGAAAGCACGCGGGCAGTCGCGCAGCCTGCACCGGCCGCCAGCCCCAGACGGGCGTTGGGCCATCAGGGGGTCGCCGCCGCCGCCGCCGCCACCGCCACCGCCACCGCCTCCACCACCGCCACCACCACCGCCGCCGCCGCCGCCGCCGCCGCCGCCGCCACTGTCGTCGTCGTCGTCGTCGTCACCGTCGTCGTCGCGGCCTGCCGGGCCGCTGGTCTAGCAGGAACCTGGCGCCCCCTTTGTACCAACCAGCGGCGCGGAGGAGCTGGAGCACCCGCTTCTCCGACCCGGCCGCGACCACGATACACGGCACTCCAGTCAGCCTCCTCGGACGAGGGAGGCCCTCCTCCTCCTCCTCTTCCTCCTCCTCCTCCTCCTCCTCCTCGTCCGCCTCCGCCTCCGCCTCCGCCTCCGCCTCCGCCTCCGCCTCCTCCGCCTCCGCATCCTCCTCCTCCTCCTCCTCCCCCTCCTCCTCCTCCTCCTCCTCCTGCGCCGCAGCCTGCGGCGAACCGACGAGTTTACTCCCCGCGCCTCAAAAGGAGGGAGTCCAGCGGGAGACACATCCCCTGAACCCAAATCCCTCCTCTTCCGTGACTCTTCACTGGACCCCGCAAACGGGAAAACATGATCGACCCACGAACCCGGAAAGGAATATAGAAATGTAACGCATGGCAACGTTTTCAAAGACACCTGATTAGGTGACGGGCAAATGCAATGCTGAGTGTATCGATCTTGATGTAACCTGCCGAGGGCTGTGCAATGCTGCGCCGTGCTGAATTGCGATGTGTCATGCCGCGATTGTGCTCTGTAGCGTCGTGGATCGAGTCCTCCGTTGCATCCGAGTCCTGACCGAACTGATCTGGATCTTAAGCTCGAGCTGCATGGACACATAGTCGCTGCCCCAGAGATAATTGACATGGGGACATGCCAGGAGGACGCGCCGCGAAACGTCCCAAGGGACGCGCCAGGCGACCTACCAGGGGACGTGCCATGGGATCGCACCGCGGGACGTGCCAAGGGGACGCGCTACGGAACGTGCCACTGGATGTGCCACGGGATGTGCCAGGGGACGCGCCACGCGACGTGCTAGGGGGACTCGCCAAGGGACGCCCCACGGAACGTGCCAGGGAACATGCCAGGTTGCAATGCTGAGTGTATCGATCTTGATGTACCGTGCCGAAAGCTGTGCTGTGCTGCGCCGTGCTGAATTGCGATGTGTCATGCCGCGATTGTGCTCTATAGCGTTGTGGATCGAATTTTTCTTTGCATCCGAGTCCTGACCGAACTGATCTGGATCTTAAGCTCGAGCTGCATGAACACATAGTCGCTGCCCCAGAGCTAATTGACAGGGGGACATGCCAGGAGGACGCGCCGCGGAACGTCTCAAGGGACGCGCCAGGCGACCTACCAGGGGACGTGCCATGGGATCGCACCGCGGGACGTGCCAAGGGGACGCGCTACGGAACGTGCTGGGGACAAGCGTTTCGCTCGAGACATCCTTTCAAAATCCTCATGCTAGACATCCGCCTGGGCGAACTGGACACGTGAAAACAAGCGTTTCGCCCAACATATCCTCAACACATTCTCATGCTAGACATCCGCCTGGGCGAACTGGACACGTGAAAGCAAGTGGTTCGCTCGAGACATCCTCAACACATCTTCATATGAGACGTCCGCCTGGGTGACCTGGGCATGTGAAAACAAGCGTTTCGCTCGAGACGTTTTCAACACCTCCTCATTCTAGACATCCGCCTGGGAGACCTTTACACGTGAAAGCGAAAGTCTCGCTTGAGACATCCTCAACACATCTTCATGTTAGACATCTGCCTGGGCGACCTGGACACGTGAAAACAAGCGTACCTCTCGAGACATTCTCAACACATCCTCATGCTAGGCATCCGCCTGGGCAACCTGGGCACGTGCAAACAAGCATCTCGATCAAGACTTCCTCACTTGAGAGATCCTCTGAATTCTGGTCCCCAGGAGAGGACAATCTATAAGAGAAAACAAGCGTTTCGCTCGAGACATCCTCAACATGATGGACCCACGAACCCGGAAAGGGATATAGACATGTGGAGCATGGACACGTTTTCACGATACCCAACTGGGCAACACCTCACGAAACATCCCACGAGACACTTCACGAAACATCCCACGAGACACCTCACGAAACATTCCACGAGACACCTCACGAAACATTCCACGAGACACCCCGCGAAACATTCCACGAGACACCCCACGAAACATTCCACGACGACAGGCAACCACTCAACCAAGGCGGTGTGGTCGTGCTGGGGAGTGGTCGTGCTGGGGTGTGGTCGTGCTTGGGTGGGTCGTGCTGGGGTCGTGCTGGGGGGGTGGTCGTGCTGGGGGGTGGTCGTGCTGGGGCGTGGTCGTGCTGGGGCGTGGTCGTGCTGGAGCGTGGTCGTGCTGGGGTGTGGTCGTGCTGTGGTGAGGTCGTGCTGGGGTGTGGTCGTGCTGGGGTGTGGTCTTGCTGGGGTGGGGTCGTGCTGGGGTGGGGTCCTGCTGGGGTGTGGTCGTGCTGGGGTGTGGTCGTGCTGGGGTGGGGTCGTGCTTGGGTGGGGTCGTGCTGGGGTGTGGTCGTTCTGGGGTGTGATCGTGCTGGGGTGTGGTCGTGCTGGGTGGGGTCGTGCTGGGGTGGGGTCGTGCTGGGGTGTGGTCGTGCTGGGGTGTGGTCGTGCTGGGGTGTGGTCGTGCTGGGGCGTGGTCGTGCTGGGGTGGGGTCGTGCTGGGGTGGGGTCGTGCTGGGTGTGGTCGTGCTGGGGTGGTCCGCACCCTGTGATTTATCGATCGGGTCGTGCTGGGGTGTGGTCGTGCTGGTGCTGGGGTGTGGTCGTGCTGGGGTGTGGTCGTGCTGGGGTGTGGTCGTGCTGGGGTGTGGTCGTGCTGGGGTGTGGTCGTGCTGGGGCGTGGTCGTGCTGGGCGTGGTCGTGCTGGGGTGTGGTCATGCTGGGGGTGTGGTCGTGCTGAGGTGTCCCGCACCCTGTGATTTATCGATCGGGATTTCAAAAACAAGCGTTTCGCCTGAGACATCCTCAAATTTTAATCCGCCGGCCTCCTTCGACCTCGATATTTATCAGGGAAAGAATCCGCCGGCCTCCTTCAAGTTGGGCACCGGGGACATGTTTACATACTAAAAGAGAACCCTTCAGGGCCGAGCCCTTCCCGGGAAAAAAATCTGAAACAAAAACAAGCGTTTCGCTCGAGACATCCTCAAAAATAATTTCGCCGGCCCTACGCGACCTAGTTATTGATCGCAAAATAATTTCGCCGGCCCTACAGCCGTCAAAACCGGGGGGAAACAAAAACTAAAAGAGAACCCTGGGCCCGAGCCCTTTCCCGGAAAAAAACAACATGATCGACCCACGAACCCGGAAAGGAATATTGAAATGTAACGCATGGCAACGTTTTCAAAGACAACTGATTGGGTGACGGGCACATGCAATGCTGAGTGCATCGAGCTTGATGTACCCTGCCGAGGGCTGTGCTGTGCTGCACCGTGCTGAATTGCGATGTGCCATGGCGCGATTGTGCTCTATAGCGTCGTGGATCGAGTCCTCCTTTGCATCCGAGTCCTGACCGAACTGATCTGGATCTTTAGCTCGAGCTGCCTGAACACATAGTAGCTGCCCAAGAGCTAATTGACAGGGGAACATTCCAGGAGGACGCGCCGCGAAACGTCCCAAGGGATGGCGCCAGGCGGCGTGCCAGGGGACGTGCCATGGGGTCGCACCGCGGGACGTGCCAAGGGGACGCGCTACGGAACGTGCCAATGGATGTACCACGGGATGTGCCAGGGGACGCGCCACGCAACGTGCCAGGGGGACTCGCCAAGGGACGCCCCACGGAACGTGCCAAGGAACGTGCCAAGTTGCAATGCTGAGTGTATCGATCTTGATGTACCGTGCCGAAAGCTGTGCTGTGCTGCGCCGTGCTGAATTGCGATGTGCCATGCCGCGAGTGTGCTCTAGCTTCGTGGATCGAGTCCTCCTTTGCATCCGAGTCCTGACCGAACTGATCTGGATCTTTAGCTCGAGCTGCCTGAACACATAGTAGCTGCCCCAGAGCTAATTGACAAGGGGACATGCCCGGAGGACGCGACGCGGAACGTCTCAAGGGACCCGCCAAGCAACGTGCCAAGGGACGTGCCATGGGGACGCACCGCGGGACGTGCCAAGGGGACGCGCTACGGAACGTGCTGGGGACAAGCGTTTCGCTCGAGACATCCTGCCAACATCCTCAGAATTCCTGCGCGCGGGACGCGGCACGCGCGAGACATCCTCGGAATTCTTGCGAGCGGGACGTGAAAACAAGCATTTCGCCTGAGACATCCTCTGAATTCTGGACCCCCACGAGGCCCCCCACGAGGCCCCGCTCGAGACATCCCCCAATTTTGCAAAACCAGCGTTTCGCTCGAAACGTCTTCAACAAATTATGAAAGACAAGCATTTCGCTCGAGACATCCTGCCAAAATTCAAGGAAATCCTCGAACAACAAACGAATTAGTAGAGACATCCTCGAAATTCCTGCGCGCGGGACGCGGCACGCGCGAAACATCATCGGAATTCCTGCGCGCGGGGTGCTTTTCCGCGTCGCGGTCGGCTCTGCAAAACCAGCGTTTCGCTCGAGACATCCTCAACAAATTCTGAAAACAAGCGTTTCGCTCGAGACATCCCCAACTCTGCAAAACTAGCGTTGTGCTCGAGACATCCTCAACAAATTCTGAAAAACAAGCGTTTCGCTAGGGACATCCTCAATTTTTAATTCGCCGGCCCTACGCGACCTCGTTATTTATCGCAAAAGAAATTCGCCGGCCCTACAGCCGTCAAAACCGGGGGGAAACCAACTAAAAGAGAACCCTGGGCTCAGGCCCTTTCCGGGAAAATGAAAGTTTGGCTGGCCACACCCGAAAGGAACTCCACCCCGTCTCCTGGCATCGGGAGATGGTGAAAGTAGAGCCCCTTTCAGATCCTTTCTGCATCAGGCCACAGTGCAACCCCTTTGGGCTTTTCTCCAGCATCGAGCTTCTTCTCGAAGTGAGTCGTCCTTCTTTGCTGGGGCGCTTCTCACAAGGCTTGGGCCGCACACATCCTACAAAACCAAAGTCCACGAAAATTATCGATGTTATGGGTGCTGTGGATTTGGAAGGGTCGGCTCCCGCACTCCTGCTGGCAAAACTCTCTTAACCCCGCCTTGGAACTGATACGAAGGCTGGCCAAACATCTGAAACCCTCGGGGGGTTCTTGCAACGAATTCGAAGTGTTCCGTGCCGCTAAAACTCCTTTTTCGGCCAGGGCCTGCTCTG